GGGAGTTGCGGAGAGGGCTGGAGAAGCAGGCAGGCAGAATGCAGTGAGCATCATTTGGAAGGCTAACTAGGGCTCTGCTGCTAGCTGGCAGACAGACAGTAAGGGCAGGGAACACCAGCATCCCTTGCCCGTTCCCCGCGCGCCCACACCTCTCTCACGTGCACTGCACCTTATTCCCATCCCCATCCCCATCCCCATCCCCATCCCCATCCCCATCCCCATTCCCGTTCTCGTTCCCTCCCCTCATCTTTTCCCCTCACCCCCTGTGCCCCAACCCCCTCCCTCATCCACCCCATGCTCTTCCCCGGCTCCAAACCCTGACACCCCCTCCCACCCACCTTGTGCTCTGCAGCCAGTTTACGAGCAGCAGGGCTGGCAAAAACGCGCGCGCCCTCTGCTCGCGCAGGGGGAGGCGGAGGGGGTGCGGCAGCCGCTGCTGGCGCCGCTGGTGCGGCAGGCAGGTGGGGAGGCGATGCCGGGGCAGCAGCAGCAGCAGCAGCAGCGGGCGCAGATGCGGGTTGGGCAGGCTTGGAGGGAGGCGTGTAGTTGGCAAATTTGGGCACGCTCTCTGCGTCGTCCACTATCACGGCAATGGGCTGATGGGGGCAAGGAGAGAAGCCAAGGGAAAGGGGAGAGGGAAAGGGGAGAGGGAAAGGGAAAGCAGATGGGCAGGCGTGTGGAGGGTGGCGTGTAGTTGGCAAACTTGGGCACGCTCTCTGCATCGTCCACTATCACGGCTATGGGCTGATGGGGCAGGGGGAGGGGAGCAGAGGGAAAGAGCGGAGGGAAAAGGGAGAGGGAAAGTGTTGGGCAGGAGCATAGGGTGGCGTGTAGTTGGGGAGCTTGGGCACGCTCTCTGCATCGTCCACTATCACGGCCATGGGCTGATGGGACGGGGGGGCGCAGGGAGGGGGGGGGGGAGGAGAGGGGAAAGGGCGTGAGGGAAGGGAAGGAGCAGGAGAGCATGGCGCTTGAGTCGAGTCGACTGAGAATGTTGTGCTGTCAGCCTGGAAGACAGCCTGGAAGACAGCCTGGAAGACAAGCCTCTGATGGAAGAGCCTCTGCTCTCGAGTGAACAGGCTGGCTGGCGGCTGTTGTCCACGGGGAAAAGTTTGCAAGAACCGAAACTAGTTGTACACTTGTTCTGATTCTAAGATTGAAGATTTGATTCAGCTGGCTCTCTCAGAAACGCACTCAACCAGGCTCTCCTTCCTCTCTCATCAAACCCATGGGGTTCGTTACAACACGAGTTGATGGAAGTAGGGTCTCCGCCACAGCCCACCTGTCCGTTACTGACAAGAGCCTGTGCTCTGGAGTGAACAGGCTGGCAGCTGTTGTCCCATGGGGAAAAGTGCGCTTCATGTGCCATACACCCCCCTCACCGTCCCACCGCACTGCATCCCTCATCCCATCCAGCTCACCGTGCCAACAGCAACGTCCTTGGCGCCAGCGTGCACGAGGATGGAGGCGAGGAAGCCGTCGTCCATGGCCTCCATCTCCACCCTGCCCACCCGATGCACACTGTTTCTACCACCTCCCTGTGCCCTGCCAATCTATGCACCACTCAACTCAAATGCGCCCCATGCATGCATCAATCAGTGCAACCCTCCTCACCGTGCCAACAGCAACGTCCTTGGAGCCGGCGTGCACGAGGATGGAGGCGAGGAAGCCGTCATCCATGGCTTCCATCTCCAGGGTCGCCTTGTCCGTCTCTATCTCGCACAGCACATCGCCCGCTGTTAGGGCGTCTCCTACAGACTTGCGCCACTGCACTATGTTGCCCTGTTGAGGGGAAGGGAGGGGGAAGAGGAGAAGGAAGGGGGAGGGGGGAGGTCGCGATGGGGGCGCAGAGGAAGGGGGCGAGAAAGGGAGAGGGACAGGAAGGGAGGAGTGCTGTGTTTGAGGTGCCTCCAAAAGGGAAGCCGTCCTCCATGGCCTCCATCTCCAGGGTCGCCTTGTCCGTCTCTATCTCGCACAGCACCACCTCTGCTGCCAGTGCGTCTCCTACAGACTTGCGCCACTGCACTACGTTGCCCTGTCAGGGAGAGGGGGAGGGGGAGGTGGGGGTGGGTTGGGGGGGTTGGTGGTGGGGGGAAAGGAATTGGCGAGTGTAGGCATGGTGATGGTATGGGTGATGGCATGGTTTCGCCGTGTAATGGGATAGACTAATATGGGATGAGGTGAGCTGGGAATGGAAGCGATGCGTGAGAGCGTGCACGTGAACAGTACCTGGGTCATGGTGGGGGAGAGCGATGGCATGGCGAGCGAATGGAAGGGCGGCAGATCTGCAGGGCAACCAGGCAAGCACGGATGGTGAGTTGGAAAGAGGTGGCGAGGACGCAGAGCCGCAAAAGACAAGACATTGGTGTTGCGCAGGAAGCAGAGGCACCAACAAGAAGCAGGAGCAACCAGCATGCGCCACACTCCCGCATCAACTCTTCATTCCTTGACCAGCCTGCCTTTCCTCATCTCCCACAAATCTTGTCCGCTCCTCCCCGCTAACCCATCTCTAACCTCCGCTGACCACTTCCTCGCCTCGCCCCTGCTTCTCTCCTCCCCATCTCAACCCCGCCTCTCTCATACCACCGCTCTCCCTTCACCGCCACTATCCCCCCACCCCTCTTTCCCAGTGCACCTGACGGGGGTGTGGATGAGCCAGCGTCGGCGGGAGCAGCAGGGGCAGCAGGGGGAGCGGAGGCACCGGCGTCAGCAGCAGTGAAGGTCGCGAACTTGGCGAGCTCGGTGTTGTCCTCCACCATCACCGCTATCAGCTGAAGGTGGTGTCACGGGAATGATGGGAGGGATGATGAGAGGGAAAATGGGGAAACAAGGACAGATGAGGGTGGGAAGAGGGGGAGAGAGTGAGGGTCTGGGCAGATCGGCGTTATCGTCCACTCCACCACCACTGCTATCAACGAGGGAGATGAGAGGGGAGTTGGATAGTAAGCTAAGGAAGTTGCGGTGGGAGGGAAGTAGCGGTAAGGCAGCTGGCGCACAAGGCACAAACAGTGGTGAGTCCGGGGCCCAGGCACGCAATGCACTAGTATCCATTCAGTTGTTTGATATGTGCCAACTCATCAGTCCTCCTGGTTGACTTGCGTTGACTTGCGTTGACTGGCGTTGACTGCGATTGACTCACAGTGCCAACGGGGATGTCCTTGGAGCCCTCGGGCATGAGGATCTTGGCGAGGAAGCCGTCCTCCATGCTCTCCATTGATAGCGTCGCCTTGTCCTGCCATGGACGCACATGATGCACATGACACATACCATACCACATACCACCACATACCGCATACCGCATAGCAACAAAAAGGGTGTTCTTGTGAGTTCACATGCACGTCAAATGCATGTTTACACATGCTGTCTGTCCCGCATGTACAGCACACATGTCCCTGCAAGCAGCAACACACGGGATCATTCCACACGCCACGACTCACCGTCTCGATCTCGCACAGCACGTCGCCCGCGTTCACCTGCTCGCCCTCCGCCTTGCACCACTTGGCTATGTTGCCCTGGGGGAAGGGCGGGCGGGAGAGCGTGGGGAGGAAGGGGAGTGTGTGTGAGGTGTGGGTGGCTGGTGGACAGAAACGCCCCACTCCCAGCCCCAGCACCCGTGCAATGCTGAGCTGCAATGCTGATGAGCCACCTCACGCGCCACCTTTACCAACTAACCCGCCCCAGCACCAACCCGCCACCAGCCCCGCATCAACTTGCCTCAGCACTCACCCGCCCCACCAATCATCTGCCCAGTGACACCTGCCCCACCCGCCCCAGTACCAACCTGCGTCATGGTGGGGGAGAGCGATGGCATGGCGACGGGCTGGTGGGGCGGAACTGCATAGCGGCATAGAGAGGGGGGGGAAGGGAAGGAGATGTGACAAGGGGGGAGGAATGGACAGGCATTGTCATTTGTGTCCGGGACACCGTTGCGATCAAATCGCATTGGCTCATATTTGTCACGATCGACATGCAGGTGACGTCAAGACACGTACAGGCGGAGGCGGAGGCGGCGGCGGAGTATTTGCGCGCAGACTTCCAGCGGAAGGACATCCCCGGCAGGGACGCAGACGCATGGTGTGCGGATGGCGCGCGGGAATCGAGCAGAGCGGAAGGCTTGGCGGCGGAGGCGGAACGGGTGGAAGCGGGGATGAGCGGGGAGCTGCGGAAGGGGAAATGGGGACGACACGAGAGCATTCGACACGACATGAGTAATCGCAAACGCGGTGCATCATAGCGCGTATGCACCGCGAATGAGTGCAGTGTATACAGCGCAGGGCTCAGATGTGCTGCACCAGGGTGTGCAACCCTAACGCGGGCAGCGGCACACGCAACGAGTTCCTTTCCCAATCGCCACACAGCAAGCGCAAATGGGAGAGCCCCAGGCGCGCGAATGAGCGCACGGTAACGGTCCTCGATCCGCTTGACGCAGGAAGGCGAAGCTAGGCTCGGCAGTTGGTGTACATTAGCGAGACCGGGATCATAAGGCCCTTCGAGACTACTGCTTCAGCGGATCGGTGATTCCCTATGACGGATTAGGGTTGTGATGCACCAGGAAGGATGGAGAGAGTGCTGGTTAGCGAGTGAGACGAGAATGGGAAGCCATAGATTCCATCCCGCACCTGATGCTATCCCGCACCTGATGCTGCTCGTGGTGTACGATGCGGATCGGATCTCCTTAGCTTGCGCATTCACCGTGTGCGCGTGTCCGCCAGCCGACTGCACATGCAGCGCCGCCGCTGCTGCTGCGGGCGCAGCGTGCGGAACCACCGGCGCGGTGGACGCGGCGAGCAGGCGGCGGAGGGCGGGCACGGGGACCGCGTGCTGCAGGTGACGACGCGACGCCATGGCTGCTAGGGTATGATTCGATATAAGCTGTCTGGATAGCTGCGCGGTGAATCCCTTCAACCAGACGATTGGACGCGAGAGAAAGGCTATCGACCAGAATCTGACGAACCCGACGGAGAAACGACGAGGCACGGTAGATCCGGCCACGTAGCGAGATGCAGACAAGCGGACGCACAGAGGCCAACCAGCGCGCACGTCCCGCTACCGCTGCAGCTTGTCAGGCAGAGCGAGAGCGGAGGCAGACCAGGCTGTCTGTCTGCTGTGTGCCACTCCCAATCTCGAGGTGTGCTGCTGCTGCTGTCTCGGATCGGAAGCTAGCAGCTAACCAAAAGGGGCGGGGAATGGTGCAGGTAGGGGGGAGGGGAGTGGATCTAGCGCGCGGAGGGGGAGCGGAGAAAGAGGCGAAGGCGGGGTGAGATATTCATAGTGCGCGGAGATCCCAAGAGTGTTGCGAATGCGCGTGACACGCACCAGCATGAATGTGAAGGAGAGATCTGCGGGCGATGCTGTTGCGGGATTGGGTGAAATGTTCTTTACCTGCCGGTGTGTGTGCCGAGGACCAATCTGGGAGCAGCAATGGTTGTTCCAATCAACGCAAACTGAGAGCCGAAATTTCATAGCCAAAGCAAAATTGCTTCGGGGAATATTACTACTTCATCCACGAAACGAAGCCTCTCATACGCGTACGATGTCAGCATATTCCCCCTCTGCTTCTCATTCAGGTAGCACACATGAGCACACACACATGCAGTGCTAAAACAGAAACGGCAAGAGCAAGCAAATCCTGATCGCGCAACGACCGTTGCGCTAGTGTGAGACCGAAAGCGTCACAGATTCAGTCGTGGGCATGAGGGCGCTGCCGTGATCTCGCAGCTCGTCAGCTATTGCGGCAGGCATCCCATCGCCGCTCCGCATCTCGTGCGATTTCGCGCGAGAATCGTTTAGAAAGCTCGCGAGTTCAGTTTCACGGGGCGCCCGTGACGGCGAGCTCGAAGGTTTAAGCGATGGTGACGACAGCTCTGCAGGCCTCCATTGCCTCTCAGCGAGTCTCACCCCGCTCGCCCGCACCCGCTCCGCGGCGGTTGCTATTACTGCTGCTGCTCTTGGCGCTACTGCTGCTTGTGCGTGGGAGCAGAGGCGGCGCGGAGCGGGGGGAGGAGCGGCGGGAAGGGAAAGCGGAAGAGAAGGAGGATGATGAGGAGGAGGAGGCGCGGCGCGCAACGATAGGGCTGTTGGCTCACGGGTGGAATGACGTGCGCGAGTGGCGCGCGGGGCTGGTGAAGGGCGTGGAGTACGTCAAAATCGACTTCTCCTGGATGCCGCCCGCAAGGTGCAAACTGCAGGTGCGGCACCCCTCTCAGATGCGCCCTGCAGGTGGGACGAGGGACGAAGGGAAAGGGGCCGGGTGGAGGACTTCTTCCCCCGTTCTGCTCCCCGCACTCTCCTTACCGTCACGTCTCAAAAGTCGCACTCTCCTTACCGTCCTCCCCTTCTTCCATTCCCTACTCTCCCACCTTCCGCACTCTCATCATCCCTTCTCTCTCCCTTCTCCCCGTACTCCCCCCCCCTTCTCTCCGCCCCTTCCCCCCGCCCCTTCTCTCCTGCTTGCATTACAGGTGGGGCCGCACTGGCAGTACAATCCACATGGCTGCTTCGGATTGGTGCACTCGCTGACGTGGCTCAGCCGCCAGCTCAACACCAGCGATGACGTCATCGCGTTCCTCCGTGACCCGGCCAATCGCGTGCTTCTGACGTATCCGCGCCCACGGCTCTACATCCAGGTGGGCGTGGGTGTGCGGAGTGGGGCGTGGGGCGTGGGGCGTGGGGCGTGGGGCATGGGGGGTGGGGGGTTGGGGGGTAGGGAATGGGAATCAGTACAGTGAGAAGTGAGTGACTACAGCAGCAGCACTTCGCAAACTCCACTTCTCGCTTTCTTTGTTTTCCTTTTATGCCCCTGCTTGTCACCACTCATTCGCCTTCCTCCTGTCTCCGTCTCTCCTATTTTCCTCCCCTTCCTCTAACCCGCCAAGCCAGCTGTGCCCCAAAAACCGCCCTATCCTCTGCACCACCAATCACACCCGTGCTGCCGTATCCTCTCATGTTACCAGTCATGATATGCCACGTGGCGATGCTGCAGCAGAGAAGGCCATCAGAATGCACCACGTGGTGCCACGTGGCAGCAGTGCAAGAGTTCTGAGAGTGATGGCACGTGCTACAGCTTCATCCAGTAAAAACAACACCACCAATGCAGGCGCATCTGGTGCATCTGGGATAGGTGCAACTGAGACAGGCGAATCTGGCGCAGGTACATCTGTGGCGAGTGGGGCAAGGCAGGGGGGAGACGGCATACGGTGGGGGGACGAGGGAGTGCGGCAGTGGATGAGGCTTTTTGACGACTTCTTCCTACGCGCCTCTACCTCCCTGCAAGAGCTCCGCCTCAACGTGGCGACGTGAGACCCTCACACGCTGACACCTGCCCGGGACTGTTGTGTGAGGGACATTTATTAGCGTCTCTCTCATCTCCTGCGCGCCTCTAGCGCCCTGCACGAGCTCCGCCTCAACGTCGAGTTCTTCCTCAACGACGTGAGACCTCCTATTGCATTGCATGCCCACTCCCCCTCCCCTTCAACCACATGACAGCATCTCTGGCTATGCGTCCGTGCTGGTGTATTCGCCTCCTACTGGCGTCCTCTACTCCTCTGTGTCCCGTTTCCACCCTCATCAGACCCACCCTCGCCCTCCCTTCCCCCGGGTTCTCCCCCGCCCTCGTGAATGCGGGCAGATGGGCGGGAAGTGTGTGGCGCAGCGGTGGCGGCCGTGGGTGATAGCATGGGACGACAACGACCTTACCAGCCACCCCGCCACCACCAACGACCCTTCTGATGCCTCCGACCGCTTCCAGGCATGAACCATGGGGATGCTTCGTCCATGTGGCATATGTGGCATGTGGCATGCGGTGTGTGGCATATATGTGGCATGTTCATGCGTTGGTGACAAGTGTTACTTGGAACGCGGAATGGCCATGCATGTATGGCATGACGCCACATTCACGAGGTCTGGTGGGCATGTGTCAGGTGCTAAACCATGACGCCACATTCACCTGGTGGGCGGCAGCAGCGCAGCAGCAGTTCATGAAGTTCAAGGATTCCGCCTATGCCCTCGTGCTCTATGAGCCTCAGGTGAGCCTCAGGTGAGCCTCAGGTGAATCTCAGGAGAGTCCCAGGTGAGTTTTGCATAAGTTACAGATGAGATACAGAAAATCATATCTGCGAGTTTCATCCATGTAATCCTCTGGCGCTCATGCTGCTGCTTGACACTGCAGCTGGTCTGTCATTATGTGCTCGCACTCTCTAATTCCCTGCCATCAGGACGAGAGGGCGTTTGCCATTTTTTCTGACGTGTACCTGTCAGCCAACCTCACACACACGCCCGGATTCCACTTCACGAGCAACATTGACCCCATCATGTTCCGCCTTAACACCGCGCCCTCCTCCCACCTCAACTCTCCCCATGCCCCTACTACTCTATTACCCATTCCTCATGCCCCCTCATGCCCTGCCCTGCCATCAGGACGAGAGGGCATTCGCCATGTTTTCCGATGTGTACCTCTCTGCCAACCTCACCCACACGCCCGGATTCCGCTTCGCGAGCAACATCGACCCCATCATGTTCCGCCTCTTCACCGCGCCCTCCTCCCACCTCGCCACCCACACCCCCTACGCCGATGACGTCTCCTCGCCGCCTCCCCCCTTTTCCCGTCCTGCTGTGGCCGTCATTCCACTGCCTGCCAACTCCAGGAGATATGGCGTGGCTTGGCATAACTCCTCCTCCTCCTCCTCCTCCTCTTCCTCCTCCTCCTCCACCCCCCCCTCCTTTGCCATCCTTACCGTCCATTGGCTACCAGACAGCCCACTGGGTCCACCCTCTTCCCCTGTCTACACTGTTCAAATCGCGCCATCTCTCCCTGCCGCCCACCCACCCGCAACAGTAATCAGCAGCACCGCACTGCCGGGCTGGGAACTTCTGTCTGCTTGTGAGGTGGAAAGAGGAAAGGGCGGTAGAGCTAATGGCAAGGGGAAAGGGGATATTCAAACTGAGCAGGTGGCATCTGAGCAGGTGGGGTCTGGACAGGTGGCATCTGTAAGTGTGCCAGACCTGCCTCACGGCATGGAATTGGAGGTTGGAAATGGCACGTTCGGGGGAGGAGTGGGGGGAGGAAGAGATGGGGGCGGAGGTGGAGATGAGACGGGGGAGGGAAGGGGAAGCAGGGATAGGCGGAGGGTTGGCGTGGACGGGGTTGCTGTGGTAGCCAGTGACGCATGTGGCGGCCATATCCTCCTGTGGTTCGCTTATGACTCGCTAGCTCTCAGCCTTATATCGAGGATAGACCTTCCAGAGCACACGCCGCAGGCTGGCGATGGCACGCAGCTTTCCTCAGTCGCCTGGACCACTGTAGTGCTGGAGATACCTGCTTCTAACGAGGATGGGAAGACGAGCAGTGAGCAGGAGCAGCAGCAAAAGAAGAGTGCAAGGCATGGCGGGGATGAGGAGAGGGGAGTGGATGGGTCTGAAGTGGTGGTGGTGGGTGTGGAGGCGTACATTCCAAGTGGTAACCACCTTCTTGATGACTCCACGGCAGCAAGTGGTGGAGATGGGCAGACAGCAGACGAAGAAGCAAGCAGGCGCAGCAAGGGTGGGGAAAGGGGGAGCAGCAAGGGGCAATTATGTGGGATCATGGGTCGAGTGCTCCTCTGCTCTCTGCCTCCCCTCCCTGCTCATCACGTCTCTACCTCACCAGCAAATGCGAATTCTGGTGCTTTTGGCATTGCATGCGTGTCTGTGGGCCGCCCCTTTTGCATCTCGCAGCTTACGCCATCACCATCCACGCCTCTCGCCATAGCAGCCGTTCACAGCACATTCCGCAATGCGCCAAGTAGCGGCAACGGCAGTACTAGCAGTGACAGTAGTAGTGGCAGCAGTGGCAGCAGAAACAGCAGCAGCAGCAGCGGCGGTGGCATCAGCAAGAGCAGCAGTGACAGAAATGGTGGAGGCAGCAGCAGCAGTGCAGGCAGCACAGACGTACGAATAGATGCAGTGGTGTCGTTCTCTCTTGCCGGCACTCAAAGCACGGCCACATGCGCAGCAAGTGGGGCCACGAACACCCCCCATGGGGTGGAAGCAGGCCCACTAGTGTTCGTGCACCACGTGCAGCTCTGCCTCCCCACGCACTCCCTCCTGCTCGCCGCTCAGCAGTTGGCCAAGGGGGGCACGGAGAATGACAAGCCGGTGGGAGAGGCAGAGGCAGAGAGTGGCCCCCCTGAGCCACCCGCTCATATTCAAGTGCAGGTCACCCCACCGCCTCTTGCCAACCCCGTGCCCTTCGCACGGGGCTCCATGCCAACTGTCAGCATGGCATTGGCTGCGGGGAAGCGTGTTGCAGGTGAAGAGAGGGAGGGGGAGGAGGGAGAGGCGAAGGCGGGGGAGGAGGGGGAAGCGCGCGTGCTGCTGTTGCACACAGATGCCTTCTGCTGGAACTCCTTTGCCCGCCACGACACCCCCCTCGGCTCCCCTCAGGTGCCATGTTTTGTTCTTCTCCTCACCTGTCCCCTTGGGTACATGGCAGGCAGGCATACTCCCACCACTGCCATGCCAACCCTCCATCCCCATCCCCATCCATAATCAAACTCACATGCGCATCCCCATCCCTACCCCCACCCCCCACAGGTGTGTGACCTGCCGCGCACCATATTCGGGGCGTCTCAACCAGGCATCCTTGCATACACCTACGGCCGCCTCTCCACCCTCCACTCCCGCCTCTACGCCGCACACGCCTCCTCCATCTCCTCGCTATCCACCACAACCACCAACTCACCGCCATCCAACGCCATGGTGGCATCAGCATGCGACAGCGCTCTCCTTCACGGCACGTACGACCAGGGCGTCGGGGCTCCCGCCGCCGCCCTGCTGCTGCTCCCCCGTGCCAGCACCCGCTCCCACCACATTGGAGAGAGGACGGGAGGGGAGAAGGAGGGAGAGGAGGAGCACGGGGAGGAGGAGGAGGGAGGCGAGGTGGTGGCAGTGGCGGTGGCAGTGCACAAGGGGTTGGCGAGAGGGGGGCTCAACAACTGTGGAGACCCCTTGCCTGCACCGGGGTTGGTGTTGGATGTGTGGGACATGCCGCCACTGCTGGACTGACAACCACATGCCGCCACTGCTGGACTGACAACCACATGCCGCCACTGCTGGACTGACAACCACGTGCCGTGTTGATCGGGCACTAAGATTTTGTGTTTCACCTCAGCTGGGCTGATGGCTGCTGGAGGGCCGGTCTGCGTGTCCCTCTCTGCTTGTGATTGTCTTACAGGCTGAAACTAGAAACTATGTGCAAAGCAGGCTGAAACTAGAAACTATATGCAAAGCAGGCTGAAACTAGAAACAATATGCAAAGCCCAATGCACACAGTGCGGAATTGCTTCTGGTGTACTGCTACTCATGCTTCTTGCTGCTCATCCAAGCTGTTTAGCTGGTAGGCTGGCTGGCTGGTTGGTTGGTGGCTGTGGCATGGCAGCTGTGGGTGCAGACATGGATGACAGCTCGGCCCACAGCGAGAAGCCCGCAGAGGCTTCTAGTTCAGTCACAACACAAGTGGAGGAGAGTGCAGCGATACAGCATCTGTGAGATTGGGTTGCTTCCATACTCTTGCGATACCTGGTAGCATGGCTGCCCGCAATCACTGCTCTTATTGCAGCAGCAGCATTGCGATTAAAAGTGTGTAAAACTTCTGACCATTCCTGTACTGCACGAAATGTGACCAATCGTTTTTTCTTGTCAGTCCCTGCCATACCTGCTTGTGTGTGAGAAGGATTTGCCTGACCCAGATCCGGTTTGTGGTGGCTCTCTGTAGGTATGCGTGCAGGCTGCATGCAGCGCAGGTGGGTGGGTGCCCTGCACCCGTGCTTTCTCCCCATCATGGTGCACGTGCCTCTCATCGCAGCTCCACCCCACTCTCACTCTTTCTCCTGCTTGGCTGTTTGTGCCCAGGCGCCTTCCGGTCGGCCCACCCCACCCGCCTGCTCTACAACATGCAGGCCCATCCAGCTCAGCAACAGCGCAACACATTTAAGCACAGCACACCTAAGCACTGCTAAACACACCTAGACACACCCAACAGACTGCCTCTGCTGAGCACAGCAGCAGCCAGAGTCTTCTCCTTGCCTCCACATCACCAAAGCAGAGTCACGTTGAATTCTTCTGAGCTGTAAACGGGACAGCAATGGGGAACGGACGAGAGGGGAGGTAATAGAAGGCGCAAAGAAGCATTTGTAAATCATCGGGCGCATTTTCTGATTGAATCAAAGGTATGCAGAAGGTGCAAAGAAGTTTTGGAACGCCATTGTGGAGCAAGCAGGAAGTGAGAGGTGAGCAGAACCCACACTTACCACACACTGCTGCTGCTCTCACTGCCTCCTGCACAGCTCTTGCCAGAGCCAAGGGATATGGAGGAGAGAGGTGAGGGCGCCATAACAGCAGGATACTGAAGATGGAAAGAACGAGCAACATAAGGCAAGGATGAAGAGAGATGGTATGGCTTGGAAGCTTAGAACAGAGCGCAGGTGATATTTAACAACCAACACCAAGAGGACACTCAGAAGCAGTCGAATAAGCTGTACTCACTCCTCTGCAACTGCTGGTGCCACCACCACTGCCTGTGTGCTTGCCACCATCCTGCAGTTGCCGCATCCACTTCCCTTTTGAGTGCTGGAGGTGAGGGGAGGAAGGATGGCAAGGACGAGGAAGAGAGGCGTGAGCAAGGAGAGGAGATGCGAGTGGATGAGGGGCTGAGGATGTGAAAGAGCACCGACAAGCCAGAAGAGATGGCAGATGGCAGCTGGAGAAGGGACTGAGACAAGGCGCAATGGAGGATGCGTTCACCTGCTGCTGCATCATCACTCTTGTCTTGCAGAAGGAACAGAAATGTTGTCTCCATCCCACCGATGCACAACGCACTCCAAGGCTTGGAGCCTAAGAGACACACTCGCAGGCACGCACACGCACACGCAAACAAGGACAGGAGCCGCCCCCCCACCCCATCCCCTCCTCTACCCCTCCCACCCCCCTCCTTCCACCCCTCCCCTTCCACCCCTCCCCCCCCCCCGTCCTCACAATTATGGGAAGACAAAACACACACACAGAAGGGAGGGTTAGGAGAAACAGGAGAAGAGGCGAGTGGCAGAGACAAGAACAACAGACACGACACTTGCCTCTGCGCGGCGACAACCTATGACTCACTTCACGGCCCCCCTGCAAGCACCCCCTGGCACTTACCATGATCTGTCCGCTGCTCTCCCAGTTTTGCGCCACGCCTTCACTTCAGGCGTCCACGTGTTGCCATTGCTCTCTGTCTCACAGGCCACTAGGCACACACACACAGACGGGGAGAGAAAGAGACACACACATGGGGAGAGAGAGACACACGCACACTGGGAGAGAGAGACACACACACATGGGCAGAGAGAGAGACACAAACACGGGGAGAGAGAGGCACACACAGACACACAGAAGAGGGTTAGAAGCAGCAGGTGGCGAGTGGTGGACCCGCAAGCAGCAGATACGACTCTTGCCTCTGCGCGGCGACACCCTATGACAGTTCACGCCCCCTCTGCAAGCACCCCCTGGCACGTACCACGCTCCGTCTGCCGCTTTGACACTCGCCGCTCTGCCTCCTGCACCACGCCTGTGTGCTGCTCCATGTTGCTTTCTTGCTGCTGCGCCAAGCCTTCGCCCCAAGCACTGCCCTGCTGCTGCCCGTGCTCCAGGTTGCTCTGTTGGTGCTGCTGCTGCAGTTGTTGCTCTCGTTGCGTCCACCACGTGTTGCTGCAGAGAAGAGGAGAGGACAGGAAAGGAGATGTTTGGGAGCTGAGAAGAGTGACATGAAAACATGGCAGCACAGCAGCAAAGACTCTGGGGGGAACTGATGGGGGAACTGATGGGGGAACTGATGGGGGAACTGATGGGGGAACTGATGGGGAAACTGATGGGGGAACTGATGGGGGAACTGATGGGGGAACTGATGGGGAAACTGATGGGGGAACTGATGGGGGAACTGATGGGGGAACTGATGGGGGAACTGATGGGGGAACTGATGGGGAAACTGATGGGGGAACTGATGGGGGAACTGATGGGGAAACTGATGGGGGAACTGATGGGGGAACTGGTGGGGAAACCGATGGGGGAAACTGACGGGGGAAACTGATGGGGGAAACTGACGGCACACGGCAAGGAATCTTTGGAAAGGAAGCAACACGGGCAGCATGTTGCTTTCCATGAGTTGCTGCAACCACTGCCCTCCCGTGAGTGCTGGAGGTGAGGGGAGAAGCGATGGCAAGGTAGAGGAAGCGAGGCGTGAGGATGTGAAAGTGCAGATGCTAGCTGGAGAAGGGACTAGGACAATAAGTCTGCATCTTCACTACATCTTCACTACAAGTTACCTCCTGTCTTGGAAGAGAAGAAAATTCCGTTGTCCCCATCGAAGGGCAGGCAGGTTCACAAAGAGCAATCCGCCACTCGCAGGTTCACTCCAGAGCTTGAAGGCTGAGAGGCACACTCACAGGCATGCACACCCGCACACGCACACATGCACGCCCCCACCACCGTTGCGCCCTTCCCCCCTTCCCTCCACACGCACATGCACAGTCCCCGTCCACTCGCTGCCATTCCCGTCCGTCTCGCAGGACGTGAGGCACACACACGCATGGGGAGATAAACAGCCACACAGACATGGCACAACAAGGGAGGGTCAGAAGCAGCAGGAGGTGAGTGGCGGAAGCAAGGGCAACAGACACGACTCTTGCCTCTGCGCGGCGACGCCCTACGACTCACTTCACGGCCCCCCTGCAAGCACCCCCTGGCACGTACCACTTCTCCTCCTTGGCAGAGCCTGCCGCTCCTGCGCCACACATTCACCCCAAGCAGCACCTGCTGCTGCCGGAGCTCCAGGCTTAGTCCCGTTCATGCACGACAAGTGAAGAGCGCTTGGCATCACAAAAGGCAAAGCGTTCAGAGGAGAACATACTTGCCTGAAAGGTCAAGGCGCTCGCTGTTGCAATCACTAGCGCTGCTGCTGCTTCAAGTCACCAGCGCTGCTGCTGTGTCTCGGGCACACTCGTGACCCGCCGTCCACTCTCTGCCATTCCCCGTCTCACAGGCCATGAGGCACACACACGCAGAGAGAGAGACGCACGCAGACAGTAGCAGTGGAACAAGGGAGGGTTAGAAGCAGCAGGAGGCGAGTGGAGAAGGCAAGGGCAACAGACACGACTCTTGCCTCTGCGCGGCGACGCCCTACGACTCACTTCACGGCCCCCCCGCAAGCACCCCCTAGCACGTACCACTTCTCCTCCTTGGCAGAGCCTGCCGCTCCTGCGCCACACATTCGCCCCAAGCAGCACCTGCTGCTGCCGGAGCTCCAGGCTTAGTCCCGTTCATCTTCGGCGCAAGAGCGCTCGATCAGTGAGCTATTACGCACTCTTTCAAGGGTGGCTGCTTGTAGGCAAGCCTCCTGGCTGTCTTTGCACTCTCGCGTGCTGCTCCAGGTTGCTTGTCGACTGCTGCTGATACCTGCAATAAGAAGGGCCTGTGGCTTGTCAGTTGGGCCAAAAGCAACCTAGCAAGAGTTCAGAGGACAAAGCAGTGCAGCACGTGCAATACAAGTGATGAGCGCTTGGCATGACGAAACGCAAAGCGTTCGGAGGAAACAATACTTGGTTGAAAAGTCAAGGCGCCGTTGCTACTGCTGCCCCAAGTCACCAGCGCTGCTGCATTCAGCAACGTTGCTGCTGTGTCTTGGGCAGGAAAGGCCCGCAAGCTTGTCACCCCCCGTCCACTCCCTGCCATTCCCCTCCGTCTCACAGGCCGAGAAGCACACACACTCAAAGCGAGAGACGCACGATGACAGAAGCAGCGCAACAAGGGAGTGTTAGAAGCAGCAAGACAAGACGAGAGGGGTGGAAGCAAGGCAACAGACACGACTCTTGCCTCTGCGCGGCGACGCTCTAGGTCTCACTACGCGGCCCCTCTGGAAGCACCCCTTGGCACTTACAATGATCCGTTAGCCGCCCTGCTGCTCTTGCGACACGCCTTCACTTGAGGAGCGTTGCTCCAGGTCGTCTCTCATGTGAGCCAGCAACGACAGTCCC